AAGTTTGAATTATTCAATTGAATTAGAATATAATTCAAATACAATATAACTGAATTACAATGTATATATATAATTCAAATACAATATAACTAAATAACAATTTAATTCAAATACAATATAACTGAATTACTTTGTAATTCAAATACAACATAACTGAATTACTATGTAATTCAAATACAATATAACTGAACTACAATGTGTAATTTAAATACAATATAACCGAATTACAATATAATTCAAATACAGTATATCTGAATTACTTTCTAATTCAAACACAACATAACTCTGAATTACAATGTAATTCAAATACAGTATATCTCTGAATTATTATGTAATTCAAACACAACATAACTGAATTACAATGTAATTCAAATACAAAATAATTGATTTACGATGTAATTCGAATACAATATATCTGAATTACAATGTAATTCAATTAGCTCAACTCTAGTGGTAACACCTATCCAATTAAGAAAGCGAGATTACGATGGCCCGGTCTACATCTAATTATCGTCGTTGCAACATCTCGTTTAAAATTTTAACGCGTCGTGAAATCGTTGGAAATAATTAACTTCCTCGCTTGGTCCTTCCTTGCGCAACGGCGTCGACATTATTTTTAATTGCTACGGTTTCGTTCGTTTCGTTCGAGGTCCGCGAAGAGTATTTCGGGATAGTTCGTACGCGCGCTTCTTCGTAATCCCCGTCTACTCGAAACGTTAGAAAAAGTTCCCACGATGCCGATGAGCACGTTCTTCGACTTTCATGAACTTCCCCCGTCATTTCCGACCGCGTCGTTTTCGCAAGCCATCGGCGGCCGGCGATCTCGGAAACGCTTCTTGCAAACGTCGCGCATTTAAAACTCGGAATCGAGTAACCCCCGCCGCGACACGGGACCTCGCAACCCTTCGGAAACCATAGTCTCGATTTCCTAAAAGGCTCGTTCGCCAAACTAGCCAACCATAATTGCCCGGCGGCCGGGCAAGAAAAATCGCTGCTCGAACAACAATCGTTCGTGCTTTCTTTCCGCCGCGCAAAATCCGAGATACCCGTCATTCCGGCCGATGGGTCGCGGGCACACGTGTCCGCGATGGTAGCCGCGCAAAAAACCGCATCGACAGGAATCCCCTCGCCTCGCCCACACCCCTCCTCGTCCGGCGGACGAAATCGTAACCAGGTTTCCCGAGCGGAGCGGCATCGTCGCGAAAAAACGAGCGCGCAATTACCCGTTCTTAAGCAAAGAGTTAATAGAGGAGCCAGCGTTCCCGGCTATCGTCCAGCATTCTCCAAGGCTGTAACGGCGAGCACGAGGCACTAAACTCAATTTGCCGGCTCGTAAATGGCATCGCGACGTAACCGCCGGCGTCGCTAATCGGCCGTTGCACAATGTCAACGAGGGCCGAGCGCGTGGGCACCTCGAAATCCGACTCGCGAATCTCTTCGACCCTTTGATCGTGCCTACTGGCCGCGCGCACCACCACTGCCAACCACGTGGATCCATTTATGGTACAGCTAGCGTTACAGAAGGTACAGTGTTTCGTTAAATCGTGCCCGAACAACGTATTGCGATGTATTGGGTTGGCAACTAAGTAATTGCCGATTTCAGTTATAGATGTCTCTCACTCCCATTTTTATGATATCCGTAAATGTTATATTATAAAATTATTATTATTATTATTATTATGTTATTTTGTATTATCCGTGAATGTTAGCAACTGGACAAATTGAATGCAGCGGTCAAGGAAAAGCGACCAGAATTGGTCGATCGTAAAGGTGTCATTTTTCAGCAGAACAATGCTAGGCCGCACACGTCTTTGTCCACTCGGCAAAAATTGATGGATATTGCTTGGGAATTGATGGTACACCCACCATATAGCCCTGATCTCGCGCCATCGGATTACTACTTATTTCGATCCCAGGACAACTCCCTTCGTGGTAAAACTTTTAACGATGATAACGCTGTAAAATCTCACTTAACTCAGTTTTTGGCCGAAAAGGATCAGACTTTCTACGAGCGTGGAATTTTCAAGTTGTCGGAGAGATGGCAAAAGATCATCGAACAAAATGGAAAATACATTACAGATACATTACAAAATACATTCATTTCAAGTAAAAAAAAATTTTTATTTCATTGAACAAATCGGCAATTACTTAGTTGCCAACCCAATACAATACTGTGCGGTAATAACTTGACGCTAATGAGAACCTCGTCATTTTTCATTGATGCGTTTGTGTGATGATAATGTTACGTCAATGCTATAGAATTAATATCATGATTTTACATATAAAATTAATGCCATGATGTTATGTTAATATTATAACATTAATGCCAAAATGTTACGTTGATATTAAAAAATTAATCTCACGATGTTATTTTAATATTTATCAAATTAATGTCATAATGTTATATTAATATTATGATATTAATCTCATGATGTTAGGTTAATGTTATAATAATATTATGAAATTAATCTCATGACGTTGCTTTAATATTATAAAATTGTCATAATGTTACATTGATATTATAAAATTAATGTCATGATGTTAGGT